GGGTGGCTCAGTCGGTTAAGCATCTGCCTTCGGCTCAGGTCATGATTCCAGGGTCCTGGGATCAAGCCCTGCATCAGGCACCCTGCTCGGTGGGGAGTCTGCATCTCCCTCTGCCTCTTCCGCTCTCCCCTAAGCTTGTGCTCTCTCTCTCGCTCACTCTCTCAAATAAATAAAATCTTAAAAAAAAAAAAGAAACAGTATTTTAAAGACCAAATACACTGATCATTCCTAAACTTAATTCAAAAATATTAATACTAAGCAGGGCGCCTGGGTGGCTCAGTCGTTAAGCATCTGCCTTCGGCTCAGGTCATGATCCCAGGGTTCTGGGATCGAGCCCCATGTCTAGCTCCCTGCTCAGCGGGGAGCCTGCTTCTCCCTCTCCCATTCCCCCCTGCTTGTGTTCCCTCTCTCACTGTGTCTCTCTCTGTCAAATAAATAAATAAAATCTTTAAAAAAAAAAAGAAAGAAAGAAAGAAAGAAACTGACTGGGCGCCTGGGTGGCTCAGTTGGTTAAGCGACTGCCTTCGGCTCAGGTCATGATCCTGGAGTCCCTGGATCGAGTCCTGCATCGGGCTCCCTGCTCGGCGGGGAGCCTGCTTCTCCCTCTGACCCTCCCCCCTCTCATGTGCTCTCTCTCTCTCATTCTCTCTGTCTCAAATAAATAAATAAAATCTTAAAAAAATATATTAATACTAAGCATTTAATAAATGAAATTATATTTACTCCTAATCTTACCATGGATAAAAGACCCATTAAGGAAAGTAGTGATTCTCAATGTGTGGTCCTCAGACCAGCAGCACCAGTATTACTTGGTAAATTGTTAGAAATGCAAATTATGGGGCCCAACCCAGAAGTACTAAATCAGAAGTTCTTGGGAAGGAGCCCATCATTTTTGTTTTAACTAGATTTTCAGGTGATTCTGACACACATTAAAGTCTGAGAATCACTGCTTTATTGTAGCATCAAATATTCAGAGACAGTTTTGTCCGAAAACACAGATAATACAAAACACTTCAGTTCAGTGGTCCTGTGAGATGAGCAGCAATTCTAAAATAGGGAAATCTAACTCATGTTTAAGAAGGAAACAATATGATGATGAGCTCAAACTTACCATCAGTTACCATGAGAGCAGCCTGAGCTTATCAAGGTGAGGTTCTTTTCCCTCATCCACCCCGCTACCCACCTTAAGAAATGAGACTAAAACTGTAGGACACCTAGGGTCACTCTCCTCCACTGACCAACACTGTGCTTTTTGGGGTTTTTTTAATAGTTACTGCAACAATTGGTCCTCCAAATCTTTAGAGCCACTTGGTCTTTCATGGGTTCAAAATAAATTATCTAACTCTTACAGATAATCAGCATCTGCAATTTCTAATGTAAAATATAACTTTTCTAACATCTTCATTGAATTTTGCTTTTTCAGCTCATTTTAATACCTAACTCTAAGCTTCAATGACAACCCATCCTACCCTTTACCTCATTTAACTTGTTTTAATTTAACATCATATATGATAGAGCTCTGCATTCTTCTCACATTTTTTTTTTCCTGTCTGACAGGGCCATCACTCTTAAAAAATATGAAGATAACACTCAAATGGATTCTACATCCCTTATTTCTTTGTCTGGCTCAGTTTCTTCATCAGAAAAATGGGGTAACAGTATCTATCTTATAGAGTTGCTATTAGGATTAACTATTTGGTAGTGCCTGCCCAATGTTCCTGGCAACTATTACTTTTGTTGCTGTTTCCTCCTGGAAGCTAGTGTTTTAATCACTAAAACTAAATGAAAATAAATTTTAAATAGAACTGAGATGCGTTTAAAGTATACTGTCACCAAGTGGGAAAACAGAGTTGACATAGCAGGGTAGTTTATGATAATAACTAATCACAATAAGTTGAGACTTACACTTGATAACTCTGCTTATTTATTACTATATGATCCTATATGATACTATAAAAGTAAAGTGAATACTTTTAATGGCTAGGTGAAATAAGTCAGAGAAAGACATGCATTGTATGATTTCACTCATGTGGAATTTAAGAAACAAAACAGATGAGCACAGGGGAAAGGAGGGAAAAATAAAATAAGAGCAAATCAGGGAGGTAGACAAACCATAAGAGACTCTTAACTACAGGAAACTAAGGGTTGCTGGAGGGGAGGGGGGCTGGGGAATGGGGTAACTGGATGATGGGCATTAAGGAGGGCACTTGATGTAATGAGCACTGGGTGTTATATGCAACTGATATATCATTAAACTCTACCTCAAACTGATAATACACTATATGTTAATTGATTTTAAATTAAAAATAAATAAATAAATAAAGGCTGCATAGTATAGACTTATGGTCATGCTCCTAAACAAGAGCTGTAAGGTCCAAAAATTTTTCTTGAATCAAGTCACAATTTACTCTTTAGGCAGAAACAAGAATTGAATTATAAGATGTTTTCTTTGTAATTGTTATTAACTAAAGCAATGGTGTAATAAACTCCTTAATGTGTCTAACTCCCAATTATGGTTTTCTTGGGGGGAACTATATAAAGTTGGAGTCAGAAAACAAAAGCAGCCACCTAGAAGAGGAGTAAAGGCATTAGTAACACTAACAGTACAATAAGTGGTTTGTTTATAAAAAATCAAAAACATTTGACCAAAATTTTATTTAATTCATTCTTAATATGTCAACAGCAAAGCTATTTTATCAACATCATTACTGAACCCAAAATGGGGCAAGATCACTACAACAAACGGGGTCCTGGAGTGCAGCCAATTTACAAGCGTGGATGTGTCTGTACAAGAAATACTGCAATAGCACACAGGACATTTTAAAGAATTGAAGGAAGGGTGAGAGACGATAGGAAACTTAAGCAGCTGTTATAAAAATCTGAAATAAAGGTAGTCACAAGCAGAAAGGGCAAAAGAAATCTTTCAAACAGACTGACAGATATACTCATTCTGAAACACATAAATACAAAAAAAAAAAAAAAAGAATGAAAAATCCTATAGCCAAATCCACTGGGTAGGCAGCTGCAAAAAAGGTTCTCATTTTAAGCAAAGGCTAACTAGAAATAAAGCACCATCTACTTTTCACTTGTATATACACATGTTGCCTCTCAAAGGAGTCGATCTAGAAGCTATACTTATTTTAAAAATGGTGATCAAATTATTGCTGGAGCACTTATTTCCTTGACTGCCTTTAGAACTCTGTAAACATAACTTCATAGACCCACAATATTTTTACACCCAAATGGTATTTTCTAGCTTCACCACCCACCATTTCCACTTGTGTTCTAAATGAAAAAGAGCTCTAAAATTGAGAACTTTTGGGATTACCTAATCAGCCTCATTTACAAACAAGAAAACACAGGCCCAAAGAGATTAAGTAAATGTACAAATTCTTTCAGCAAGTTAATGACAGGACGTACCTGCCCACCTCACTGTGGTCATGACTGGGACATCACAAGGCCTAACTTGTGTCAGAGATCTGGGGGCACCATAAATCTTAAACATGAGTTGATAAGGCAGCTTCATCAGAAGAGGACTTTTAAAACTGCAACTCTGAAGGAGAGTGTCAGATACAGCCAGCCTGCTCAATAAATGTTTCTGAATGAATGAATCCGATGTATATGTTTGAGCTCATTAAAATACTGATTATATTCCTTCCTGGTTAAGTTACACCACGTATTTCTGAATTCTCCATCTATCTAGAGGCTGATCACCTATCATGTTTTCAATTAGGCAACTAAAGACTCATTTTTAGAAATCCTTTATTCAAACACTTTAAAGGTTTAGTCCTCATCCTTGGTCCCACCTTTAGAATTCTGCATCTGGTTAACACTTCAAAGCAGAAATATAGTAATCCCCCCTTTTTCATTTTTTAATTCCATAAACAGGAATTCTAAAGACATATGTAGTGAGGAAAAATTATTTAAAGGGGCCATGCTAAAATTAAGATTTAAATATTCAAGTTTCTTCAAAGTTTAAATCACACACCTACACACACAGGTCAATAGATGTCTCCACTGTTTCACTGCTTTAAAATGAATGGCAGAATGTGGGGTTATGGATAGATTTTACACTGTGTGAGCTTTTCTCTATATTCTAAACCCTTTAATGCTCATAAGTTGACTCTTAACACCAAAATGCACATTAGAACAACTAACAAACATAAAATATAAATGACTAGGAGAGGTCTGCCACTTGCTAACTCAGAGGAGGCCAATGGCACTGGAGAAGTTATCGTATGCAACACCTCTTCAGCGAACGCTTTTTTAAATGCCGCAAGATAACAGTATCGTGCCTTTATTTCGAACCTTTATTTTAGAATATCGTGTTCACTTAGAACACAAGTGGAAATGGTGGGTGGTAAAGCTAGAAAGATTTCTAGGATGGAAAAAAAAAAAAAAACCAACACAAGAGTGGGTATAGTGATCACTGAGGAAAAAGAAAGTCTCTAAGTTCTGCCATCTCAAGACCACACGCAGCCTTTCAAAGTACATGGCACAAAAATCAACCGAGGTTCCAGTGTAAATTAAGCATTTTCTTTTCCAAAGTAGTATTAAGTGCTGAAGTGAATCCTAACAGTTGACAAATACCAAATAAAAACAGTGACCCAAACCAAAACACCAAACCCGGCACGGCGTTCCGAATTACCTCAAAGACGAAAGACACCGACATCATAACGGGTTCAACATTCACCTCCCAATGGGAGGGAAGAAAGAAGGATCAGACCGTCCAAATACTTGGCGGGGAAAAGAAAGTCGCGTCTAGGTGAAGAAAGCAGGAAGCGCAGAGCAGGAGAAGCTACCACGCAGACTGCAGAAAGTCTTCCGCCCCCAGAGCAGAGCGAGTCCTCCCCGCCTCCCCGCCTCCCCGCCTCCCGCTCAGCCACACCTGCCAACGTCCGGCCTCGCGACCCCCGCCCACCCAGCTCACGTCCGGCGCCAGCCAGGGCCGCGCACTCCCACGCCGCGCCCTGACCGCCGCCGCACCTCCCCCACCCCCGCCCCAGCCCTCCGCCCGGGTCGGCCGCGCGGGAGGCGAAGGAAGGCTGGGCTCACCAGGTCCCTCCGGGCTGGACGGCGCCGGGGGCCGGTGGGGCGGGGACCCGCACCCGGGGTCCCCCTGGGCGGGCTCCCTCAGGTAATCCTCGAAGCGCACCTGCCGGGCTTCGCCGCCACCCCCGAAGCCCCACAGGCGGTTGGCAGTGCCCCGCAGAAGGCGCCCGCTCTTCCCGGTGAATGTGGTCAGGTAGTCCATGCTGCCGCGGGGCAGGGGCCCGGGAGGCCGACGGCTTCCACGGCGGCGGCAGCCTGTGGGTGCGCGCCCGCCCGCGCCTGCGACCCGACCCGGGGGCGGTGGCTCCGCGCGCCTCACAGGAGGCGGGGAGGGGAGGGGGCTTCCCTAGCTCGGCCCGAGGGCGGACCATCAGGAAGCTATGCATCGGGGGGAGCAGAGGCTGGCAGAAGTTTTTGAAAAGTTATTCTTGTTGCTTCCAGACGCCAAGTCAGGCAAAACTTAGCTTGTGAAGTAGGTGCTTTCTCCCTGGAACAGATGCAGGGACGAAAAGCTGGCGGTTTTTAAGCAAGCCGGAACCGTCCTATCTGCTCCTCCACCCCCCCCGGTCCGGCTCCAATGGAGCAGGCCCGCCCCGCCCCGCCCCGCCCCGCCCCGCCCCGCCCCGTCCGGACCCGACCGGACTTTCAGGACTGCTGGGGAAAGCGGGGGAGGCTGAGCCTTGGGGCCCTAGGGCTGAGCCGGGGATAAAAGTGGCCCAGGGGACTCTCTGCTGGCGTTAGGTAGAGTTTGGGGGCCTAGGAGGGCAGTGTTAAAAAAGTTTGTGTGTGTGCGCGTGCGTGTGTGTCGGGGAGGGGCACAATTTACTTCAAACTTTTGCAGCTTGTAATTTTGGGGGGCTGTGTGGGGGTAGGGAGGAAGGAGGGAAGGTTATTTTAAAGCAAAACTTAGTAGTTAGAACCAACTTAGATAAAATGCTTCTTACGAAGCATTATGAGACCATACTCGAAGAATAAAGCATTAATAGTCACATTTTAAGTTCGTTGTGGCATTATGAACTGTTAAGAGTGACAATTCCATGAATTTGGTCCTATAAAGCAAGGTAATTAAGGGCTTTAGTGTGCAACCTTATTCTTTAGGCAGAGAAGAATCAATGACTTTTGACAGACATTTAGTAAGATCTGGTTATTCTCTTCCTTTCACATCTGTTTATATCACTTTTAGTTTTCCGCACGCGTTAAATAAATAAACCGTCTTTCTTGGAATTACCAGTTTATTAATGTATGTGAAGAAAAGGTTTGAATTACTTAAGAGTTGAAGATTTAGTCAAACCAAATAATGGAGTCCAGAAAATCCTTCAGAAACTTAAGCTTTTTGCCAAACCATAAAGATTACCCCACTTCCCTTTTTCTAACTGATCTTTTTCCCACCATCACCTTTCAGCTTAAATTCGTACTAGAAAAACTTCACCATTTTAACAATACCGTCACCTTTATACCTGGTTAAAAATACAGAATGTTTGGGCTGTGCCCCCAGAGTGTAACTCGGTGTTTGTGAGAAAGGACCCAGGAATCTACATAACCAGCAATCATCCATGTGTTCAGATATTCTGGACCTCCTACCGGACCCATCTGGTAGAATGGTAGGTGGCTCCTCGTTTCCCTGAGATTTCTTTTTGATAAGGAATTATTACTACCCTTAGCACCACTTCTAAAATCTCAGAGGCTCAGTAAGCTTAAAAATCAAGTTGGAATGACTTAAGTCTAGTGCTGATTAACTAAATTGAAATTTTTTTTCTAAAATATGTTTTAAATTTACATCTTGAAATTTATCTGTTTGTGATAATCATATCCAAAATAGTGTCTGAGTTTTATATGCTTGATTAAATCTGCACTTTTACATCCAACCTTAGCAGGAAACTGTACTCTATCAGTTCAAATACAGGTTTATAGGCAGTTAGCCCATCAGTTTTTTTTTTTTCTCCTTCTGTTTCATAGAAAGCTAGAGCTGCTGGAGAACAATGTATAACCTTGATGATTAAGTGCTTTACAAATTTTGATTTAAACTTAAGTAAGCCCTTAATGTCTCCAAAATCCTTCTATTCATATAATCAATCAGCTTTCTTTTTTATTCTTCACATTTGTTGTCTGAACCATCACTATTCTCCTGAAGTTACTAAATTCATCACTCCAATATGTTACTTTGCCTTCTGCATGAAAAGTCAGGCCTTCAAATATGAACACTCTCACTTTTCTTCCCTTTTTCTCTTCAGTCTACAAAAGCTCATCTCCTTTACTTTGCCTCAGAAGTAACTTCTGTCCATGCCATTCCCTCTCCAAATTAACTTTTAAAAAAAATTTATTTATGAGAGAGAGAGAGCGTGTGAGCTCACAAACGGGAGTGGGGGGGAATCTGAGGGGGACAGGGTCGGGGGGACAGGGAGGGGCAGAGGAACAAGCAGATTCCCCGCTCCTGCTGAGCTGGGGCTCTATCCCAGAACCCTGAGATCATGACGCTGACCCTAGCTGAAGGCAGACGCTTAACCAACTGAGCCACCCAGGCACCCCTCCAAATTAACTCTTGATCTTAGTCTGGTTTATATTGTCTTTGACTTGTCAATGTTATTAACTTCTCTCTTGTATTATTTTCTCTGTCTTTACTCCAGATCCTTCCCCTTTTCCTACCTATATCATTCACATAAATCCTTTCCATCCTTAAAAAAAGTTTCCTTATACCATGCCTGCCTCCTCCAGCAACCTTTGCCTCATTTTAAAATGTTTATTGGGACCCCTGGGTGGCTAAGTCAGTTGAGCCTCTGCCTTTGGCTAGGGTCATGATCCCAGGACCCCAGGATCGAGCCCTGCATTGGGCTCCCTGCTCGGTGGGGAGCCTGCTTCTCCCTCTCCCCACCCCCCTGCTTGTGCCCTCTCTCCCTCTCAAAGAAATAAATAAAAGCCTTAAAAAAATAAAATACATTTATTGACATATGATTTATAAGCCATATAATGCACCTGTTAAAGGTATACAATTCAACGGATATTGTATATTTACAGTTATTAAACTGTCACCAAAAACCTAATTTTTCAACATTTCTATCACCCCCAAAGGAAACCTCTTACCTATTTGCAGTCACTCCCCATGCCCACCCCCAGGAGTTGGTGACCACTAATCTACCATGTGTCTTTATGGATTTGCCTTTTATAGATATTTCATACATATGGAATTCTATAATATCTGGTGTTTGGTATCTGACTTCTTTCACTTAGCATAATGTTTCTGAGGCTTATTCATGGTATAGCATTTATTAGTATTTTATTCCTTTCTATTGAAAATAATATGACCCTGTATGGATATATCACATTTTATTTATCCATCATTATCCATGCTGGGCATTTGGATTGTTCTCATTTTTGGCTATTATGAAGAATGTTGCTATGAACATCTGTGTATAAATTTTTAATGGACACATGTTTTCATTTCCCTATATGTATAATAGTGTAAGCTTAAGGTATATAATGTGATGATTTGATACAATGCAAAATGATTACCACAATAAGGTTAGTTAACACCTCCATCAATGCACACGTTACTTTTTTTGTGTGGTGAGAACATTTCGGATTTACTCTCTTAGTAATATTCAAGCAAATAATGGTGACTGTAGTAAACAGTCACCATGCTACACACTGGAGCCTCAGAACTTATCTTAAAATCAAGTTTGTACCATCTCACCATTAATTCCAACCACCATCCCCTGGCAACCACTATTCTAATCTGTTTCTATGAGTTCACCTTTTTTAGATTCCACATGTGAGTGAGATCATACAGTATTTGCCTTTCTTTGACTTTTGTTTCACTTAGCATAGTGCCCTCAATGTTCATCCATGTTGTTGCAAATGACAGGATTTCCTTCTTTTTTAATGGCTGAGTAGTATTCCCGTGTGTGTGTGTGTGTGTGTGTGTGTATCACATTCTTCTTTATCCATTCATCCAGTGATGGATATTCAGGTTGTTTCCATGTCTTGGCTATTGTGCATAATGTTGCAGTGAACATGGAAGTGTAAATATCTCTTCAAGATAGTGATTTCATTTCCTTCAGATATATACCCAGAAGTGAAACTGCTAGATCATATGGTAGTTCTAGATTTATTTTCTTGAGGACCCTCCATACTGTTTTCCATAGTAGCTATACTAATTTATATTCCTACCGATAGTGCAGGGGGCTCCCTTTTGTCCACATCCTTACCAACACTTGCTATCTCTTCTTGTTTTGATGGATAGTTATTTTAACGGGTGTGAGCTGATTTCTCATTGTGCTTTTGATTTGCATTTTTCTGATGATTAGTGATATTGAACATTTTTTCATGTACCTGTTGGCCATCTGTATGTCTTCTTTAGAAGAGTGTCTGTTGAGGTCTTCCACCCATTTTTTTCATTGGATTGTTTGTGTTTTTGCTATTGAATTTTCAGTTCCTTATATATTTTGGATATTAACCCCTTATCAGATAAATGGTTTGCAAAGATTTTCTCCCATTCTTTAGGTTGGGTTTTCATTTTATTGATGGTTTCCTTAGCTGTACAGAAGCTTTTTAGTTTGATGTAGTCCTACTGGTTTATTTTTGCTTTCGTTGCTTGCTCTTTTGGTATCATATCCAAAAATCATTGCTAAGACCAATGTCAAGGAGCTTTTGTCCATGTGTTTTCTTCTGGGAGTTTTATAGTTTCAGGTTTCACATTTGCATCTTTAATCCATTTCGTGTTAATTTTTGTGTATGATGTAAGTTAGAAATCCAATTTCATTATTTTGTATGTGAATATCCAGTTTCCCCAAGACTATTAAAGAGACTGTCCTTTTCCCAGTGAGTATTCTTGACTCCCTTGTCAAATATTAGTTGACAGTATATGGATGGTTTATTTCTGGGCTCTTGATTCTGTTCCTCTGGTGTATGTGTCTGTTTTTATGGCAGCACTATACTCTTCTGATTACTACAGCTTTGTAATATAATTTATTTTTTTTAAATTTTTATTTATTTATTTATTTGACAGAGAGAGAGACAGCGGAGAGAGGGAACACAAGGAGGGGGAGTGGGGGAGGGAGAAGCAGGCTTCCCGCCGAGCAGAGAGCCCAATGCGGGGCTCAATCCCAGGACCCTGGGTGACCTGAGCTGAAGGCAGTCGCGTAACCAACTAAGCCACCCAGGCACCCCTGTAATATAATTTAAAATCAGGAAGTATGATGTGTCCAATTTTCTCCTTCTTTCTCAGGATTGGCTATTTGGGGTCTTTTGCAATTCCATATTAATTTTAGGATTGTTTTATTTCTGTAAAAAATGGCACTGGACTTTTGATAGGGATTGCACTAAATATTTAGAACACTTTAGGTAGTAAGGATATTTTAACAATAGTGTTCTAATACATGAACACAGAATACCTTTCCATTTATTTGTTTAATTTCTTTCCTAAACATCTTACAGTTTTCAGAGTAGAGACCTTTCATCTCCTTGGTTAAATTTATTGCAAAGTATTTTGTTGTTTTTGACGCTATTATAAATGGTTTGCTTTATTTCTTTTTTGGATAGTTCATGGTTAGTCTATATGAATGCAACTGATTTTCTATGTTGATTTGTATCCTGCAACTTTATGAAATTCATTTATTAGTTCTAACAGTATTTTCATGGAGTCTTTAGGATTTTCTATATATAAGATCATGTTCTGCAAATAGAGACAATTGTTATTTCTTCCTTTCATATTTGGTTGCCTTTTATTTCTTTGTCTTGCCTAATTGGTCGGGCTAGAACTTCTAGTACTATGTCAAATATGAGTGGTGAGAGTGGGCACCCTTGTTTTCTTCCTGATCTTAGAGGAAAAACTTTCAAACTTTCACCATTGAGTGTGATGTTAATGGGCTTGTCATATATATGGCCTTTATTATGTTGAGGTACATTCCTTCCATACCCAATTTATTGAGAGCTTTTGCCATGGTGGGATACTGAATTTTGTCAATTGTTTTTCTGCATCTATTGAGATGATTGTATGATTTTTATTTTTCATTCTATTAATGTGGCATATATATAACATTTATTAATTTGCATATATTGAACCATTCTTGTATCTCAGGGCTAAATCCCACTTGATCATGGTATATGATCTTTCTAATATGCTGTCGAATTTGGTTTGCTAGTATTTTGTTAAAAATGTTTGCATCTATCTTCATCAGATATATTGTTCTGTAGTTTTCTTGTGGACTCCTTATCTGGCTTTGGTATTCGCGTAATGCTGGCCTCCTAAAATGAGTTTGGGAGTGTTCCCTCCTCTTCCATTTTTTGGAAAAGTTTAAGAAGAAGAACTGGTGCTAATTCTTCTTTAAATGTTTGGCAGAATTCTCCACTGAAACCATCTGGTCCTGGGCTTCTCTTTTTTGAGATGTTTTTGATTACTGATTTAGTCTCCTTACCCACGTTTGGTCTGTTCAGATTTTCTGTTTCTTGATCATTCAATTTGAGTAGGTTGTATATTTCTAAGAATTTAGCCATTTCTCCCACGTAACCCAATTCTAGGCATACTGGTCTCTCATGAACTTTTATATTTGTGTTTTATCAACTGTAATGTCTCCTCTTTCAGTTCTAAATTTATTTATAGCTGTTC